TATACAAATAATCACCAGTGATCTTGGTTCACTGTTGTATCAGTTACTCTTTGATTACTGCCTTGCTAGGTGAAAAAGAAAACAAGATTTCACAGATCATCTCCCATACTCATACCCAACTACAAAAAGCCTAAGCCAAAACAATCAATCAATCAATCAATCAAATAATAACTCCCCTGACAAAAGGTAAAATCTAAACACAGTAACAAGCCCTCTGCAGTTTGCAGGAATAATGAAAGTATTTTTTAAACAATAACAATAAAATGATATTCTAATTTTATTAAAATAGTGGAAGTTTCATACAACAGTATACATATTTTATACATCATTTTGTAAAAATCAACTTTGTAACCAAGGGCTCCCATATACTAAAACTTTTCATTACCTAGTCCTTTATTTGGTTTTGTTGTATAGTATAGTACAGAAAGTATTCTTCCCTATAAGGTCTTTGATGGCAAAATTCCCACATACCTCAGAATGGAAGAAATTGAACAAGTACTTACAGATTTGGTAATACTTTTCTTTGGTGATACTAAGCAGGCATAAAGGCATAGAGAAGAGATATGTAAGACTAGCTCAGCTAATCTGACAATGGAGAAAAAAGTTTTTTAATTCAGTTTCTTCATTTATGTAAAATGATAATTTGGTAAACACATGACAGAGTTCGTGGTTATTAAATAAATGTATTATGTGACAGTTCTACATAGAAAGGATCCCTCCTGAAGACCAGACAGACCCTTTGACCACTTCCGTTTTACAGATGGGGAAACGAAGGGAAGAAGAACAAAAACGAAATATCTGAAGTTACATAGATGACCTAGCTCAGACCTATCTGCAGAGACGCCGGATGGCCGACCCCTTATTTTTCCTTCCGCGTTGACTTGTACAGGCGCATCATGCAAATGTACCATAGGCAGTGAGTGTGCGCCAGAGCTCTGTGGGGTACTAGCAGTGAGAGAGAGAGCGCTTTCCAGTAGGTTGGTTGGTAGGTTATGACAAAAAACAAAACAAACAAATAAAAAACAAAACAAAACAAAAAACCAGGGAGAGGATTAGAGTTCCAAAGGTGTAAACTGAGGTCAAAAGCTCTAAGCAACCTGGCTGTGGGGTGAGGTGAAGGGCCAGAGAAGATTTTAGTGTGTATTCTGGTCCTAGCCCTGACTTTCCGCAAAGCCTCGCCCTGTGCTCCCTGCTGTACCCATTTCCCGGCGGCAGTCCAGACCCTGAGATCCACCAACTACGCCCGAATTCGCTCCCAGGCCAAGCGGCCTGCGGAGATCCGGGCCGGGTATGGGATTTGGTTGGGGACCCCTTACCCCAGGAGCTCACCCCACCCAGGAGCGCACCAAGTTCCTGGTGCTCTTTTAATAGGGAGAAACAGTAACAGACCCCATCATCGGATAAACTACGTTTACAATTCCGGACTTGTCTTTGAACCCTTTCAAACAAAACGCCCAGCGATTTCTTTTTTTCGTTTTTGGTGAGGAGGAAAAATGCCTGGACTCTAAGAAGCTGCAAATTTTCTAAGGATTAAAAAGCCACTGCGAAGATAGTAAATTACCCTGCAGCCCGCAGTTGTTTTTGATTATTTACGTTGCAATTGGTTTGCGAACCGGAGAAGCACGGAGTTCGTCAAAATCGTTTTTTCAAGGTGTAAAGCATCTCGGCAGTGTTCTTAGAGCTCTGCAGCAGGGCAGAGAAGCGAAGGGGGTGGGAGTCCTGTCAATTTAAAAACAGAGCCGAGAGATGAGGAGAAGGAGGAGGAGGAGGGGCCGCCAGGGTGGGACCAGGGCAGTCCCCAGCCGGTGTCTGGATTCCTTCTGGAGGTACCCAGGTCCAACATCAAGTTTCTACTGGCGGCACGGGTGGGAAAGTCGGCAGAGTCGCTCCACAGCCAGGCGGTCATTTCCCATCCTCTCTGTCCAGGTCGGACCTTGCGAACAAAGGTTCACTAGGGAAGGTGACCCGCTCGGCGGTGATGGTCGCGACCCCACGTATCCCCCGTTTTCCTCCAGTTCTGTTGTCTGGAGAGGGAATTTTTAATTAAAAAACAAAACTAGAAGAAAGGCTTTTGTAAAGGAGAGGGGCCTCCCCGTGACCCTGCTAGGGAGCCACTGGGACAACTGCCTCCCAAGTCCTAAGGAAGCTCAGAGCCGCAGCGACCGAAGCTGCAACCACCCGGGATTGCAGACTGGGGCTGGGGAAAGGTTCCTGGTAGGTTTCGGGGGTGGGGGCTGCTTTCCATTGTTCACTGCGAGCCAGTCCCCGCAGGGCCGCTTCCTCCCCGCCAATCCCCCTTCACCTCCGCCTTCCTCCCTAATCCACCCGGCCGGTCAGCCACTCCTTCCCCCGCATCCCCTTAGTAGTGGGGAAGCTCGGTGTTGCCACAGGTCCCACCTCCAGCTCCAGCCCTGGGGCGAGTGCGTGCTGACATCATGCAGCATGCAGGCTTCTTCAACTCCACCCGGCAGGAGTAGCCTAGGCTGGGCGCGTGCCCTCATCCTTCTGCCCCGGGTCGCACACTCTGCGCGCATCTCTTTCTGCATGGTGGATATTATTTTTCATTATCCTTTTCTGGGTGCTATGGGGGATCATTCCAAGAGTAATTCTTTTTGTGTGTGTGGGTGTGTGTATGCATGTGTTTAATATGCAATATTTTTAATGCAGAAGAATGTTTAACGGATTCTACAAGTGGCTTCTATTTTGGAAAATATTTGGGAGTACACTTCACCCGTAGCATTGCTTATCCTTTGGAATCCCGTTTCATTTTATAATTAGATATTATTTCTCTAGTCAGCTGACCTCAAGCTGGGAATTTTGCTTCTGTTTTGCACTGAGACAGATTTTTACGGATATGGTTTTTTGTTTGTTTGCTTGCTTGCTTGTCTTTCGTTCTTTCGAAGCTAGAAGGATTTCGGTCCCTTCATTTGAGGTGCTGAAATTAAGGAATGTCCAGGAAGCTGAGCTGGGACAGGGCTGCAGTGCTGTGCGGGTGCTGGGGTAACTGGAGCCGCTGTGCAGCGTGCGGCAGATGTGCCAGGCTCTCGCAGGTCTCGGGGACCCCGGCGCCCTCAGTGTCCCCCAGGCCGTGGAGCTGCGGTCTCAACTTCTAGTGCAGTTGCTAGACGAAAACATTTGGACTGGGAGACACAAAGCCTTCACCAAATCAGAAGTTTTCGGTTTTGCTCTTTTTCCATTTTCTGGCTTTTTAGAAAGCTCATCTCTCCCCTGTGGTCGCACTTCTGGAGAGAGCGAGAGGGCGGGTTGGGTTGGGGCTGGAGTGGCCAAGGCCGGCCAGGGAGCGCGGGCCGGGCCTGACGCAGGCCCTGCACCCTTCCCCGCCAGAGAAGCCCGGGATGGCCATATGCGTGGGCTGCGGGAGTCAGATCCACGACCAGTTTATCCTTCGGGTGTCGCCCGACCTCGAGTGGCATGCCACCTGCCTCAAGTGCGCCAGCACCTGGATGAGACGTGCACGTGCTTCGTGAGAGACCGGAAGACCTATTGCAAGCGGGACTAGGTCAGGTGAGGTGCGCAGTAGCCCGGAATGGGCCCTCAAGGCCTAGGGTGCGCTCGGGCAGGCGAGAGAGACTAGGCCCTCCCGGGTTCTCGCAGCCTCTGGGTGGACCATAAAGCACCTCTCGCCTGGGAGGCCCGGGAGGCCCCATGCACCGCACTGACACCCGCCGCTCCCTGCTCCCGCCGCATCTGGTTTCAGAACAAGCACTCCAAGGACAAGATGCAGCAGCAGCAGCAGCAGCAGCAGCAGCAGCAGCAGCACAATGACAACACAGTAAGGGCTGCGCAGCGGCAGGAAGGGCCGCGAGCTTGCCTCCCGGTACCTTCTGTGCCCAGCGTACCACGGCCTCCTGCTGGAGCGCGTTGCCTCAGGCAGTCCTCGCAGCCCCGGCCCGCTCCCCGGCCCCAGAGGCCTACATCTGCCAGGTAAGACCTCCGCCGGCTGGTGCCGGTGTCAGTGGGGTGTGCGACTGTGTAGAGGGCTGCAGTGCTGCTCACGAGTTGTTGGCGGTGGGGGAGGTTCTGCTTCTCCGGATAAGCATTTAGAACTGTGCGCTAGGAACCTGGTTGCATGTTCCTGTGCGCCAGGGAGACATTGGAAGTATATGAACCGGTGAGGTTGGGGAATTGTGGGGAACTGTGTTCTGCGAGAGCCAGACTCTGTGGGACTGTATGCTAGGAGCCGGAGAGTGGAGGACAAGAGGGAATTCCAGGTGGTGCCGGCCCTGATGACTTGTGTTTAGAATTTCTTGGATGAATATGTTATCGTTGGAGAGAAAACGTAGGTTTGCCTGGGGATTGGTATGTATGTAAATAATGAAACTCCTTTGGGGAGGTGGACAGGGCTCAGCCAGCCAGGAGCCTACAGAAGAGGGCAATCATGCCAAAGAGAGGAGTAGCTGTGTTCTGGTTTTGAGGTCCAGTTTGATGAATGATTTATCAGGGGCTCTCAGTTGGCATGGTAGTGTAAAGGCACAGTGAAGTCCTCTATAAAAGAAAAATCCTCCATAGGATGTTAGGTGTCCTCACCAGGGGCTGCTTAGATGTGGGATCCCAGTTCGAACTACAGGCAGGTGGAGAGGGTGAGACCCCAAGAACTCAGCTCCAGGAGGCCTCAGCACAAACCTTCCTTAGACCTGGTGTCTCACTGCAGTGGCCTTGGGGCTCCTCCGTTCAGTGTATCCATTTCTACCCTATAGAATGAGGAAATTGGGCTTGGTGGGCTATTTGTAAATGTTTATCCACTCATAGAAATGCTTGGAGAGGGGATATCAGTGTAAACAGTGTTGTTAATATCCAAATGCAGGAGGATGAATGTGAAACAGAACGAAGCTGGTGTTGAATGAACCCCATTTGAGATATCAGAAGGGCCCCTCTTTGTTGTGGGATTCAGGCATCCGGATGGCTCTTCCCTAGTGGTGAGGGAATCTGAGATCCTTGGAGGAGGGTGTGAGTGTCACTGGATGGAGGGAACCTGGAACGTTAGGAAGTCTCTGTCAGAAACAGGGAGGGCAGGCTGGCAGGAACTGTTCTGTGCCCGGGAGGCCCTTGTTTTCCTAACGACCTGTCTGAGCTTCCCAATCCCTGGGTTGTGCTGTGCCCTGGGTTCATGTCTCTCTCTTTCCCTCCTCTGGAATCTTCCTCCCAAATTCCAACTTCTTCCGGGCCTTGGCTCTTCCTGCTCCAGGCAGTTGGGTTCCCCCAGGGTCTTGTCCCTCAAGAGCCTAGAACAGCTCCAAAGCCTTGCTTGCGCCCCGGGAAGATAGCTGCACTGTGGGGTAGCCCTGCGTGAGAGTGAGGTAAAGAACGAAATGGCACAGTTCGTTTGGGTTAGGTGAACAGAGTGACCCAGAGAGATGAACAATAGCAAAGTCAAGGGAAAGGCGCCCATCTCACCTCCTGCCCCTGCTCTGTCCTCACAGACGCTGGGTCTGGCCGACAGTCATCGCTGCGCACGCAGATGCACAAGCAGGCGGAGAAGACCACCCGCGTACGTACAAACGGTGCTCAACGAGAAGCAGCTGCACACTCTGTGGACTTGCTATGCCGCCAATCCCCGGCCCGACGCGCTTATGAAGGAGAAGCTGGTGGAGATGACCGGCCTGAGTCCGCGGGTCGTCCGCCTCTGGTTTCAGAACAAGCGCTGCAAGGACAAGAAGTCAATTCTCATGAAGCAGCTGCAGCAGCAGCAGCAGCAGCAGCAGCAGCAGCAGCAGCAGCAGCACAATGACAACACGGTAAGGGCTGCGCAGCGGCAGGAAGGGCCGCGAGCTTGCCCCCGGGTACCTCGGCCTCATCCGTGCTGCTTTCTGGGCGTGTTTTAGGGGGATCGAGACTAAACTGGGCTCTCCAAACAGCAGGGCACCTGTACCTTCCGAGCATCTTACCATGTTTGCATCTTACCATGTTTGAGGTATGGGGAAGGGGTGTGTGGTGCCAGTGTTGAGGGATCCTAGGTACAGCGAGGACCAGGTGGGGCAGCCTTGGGTGCAGGCCCGAACAGTCGGGAAGGTGGGTTGCCCCTTTATTTTGTTTGTGTCATCTTTTTGAGACAGGGTCTCCCAGTAGACCAGGCTGTCCTTGATCTCACAGAGACCTACCTGCCTCTTCCTTCTGAGTGCTGGGATTAAAGGCATGTCACTAGCCCAGCCCAGCTTGTCCTTTTCTTTTACGTGCTCAATTTGGGCAATTTTTTTTCTTTCACATACCTGCCCAGGAATGAGGGTACAAGCTGTCCTCTTCCCTGATCTGGTGTTTGGCTCCTAGGACTGAAACTGATGGTGGGTTTTGAGGGCTTGGGGTATCTCCACTGGGGAATAGGGGCTTTGTGTGCAATAACCAATGTAACCCCCAAATCAGGCCCTAGAGCCTGGGGCTCCACGCTCAAAAATGGTGTAAATGGTCAGACCTAACTCTTTTGCTCTGCACCTCTCTGCTTGCCCCTTAGAGCCTCCAGGGACTGACCGGCACACCCCTGCTGGCCCATCCGCCCATCCGCCTTGAGAACGCAGTGCAGGGCAGTGCAGTGGAGGTGCAGACATACCAGCCGCCCTGGAAAGCACTAAGCCAGTTCGCGCTTCAGAGTCACCTGGACCAACCCGCCTTTCAGCAGCTGATGAGGCTCTCTGCGATTTTTTTTCCTCAAAACTAGAATTTGGGACTTACTAGGGTTAGCTCTGCCCTTGCCTCTCCCGCGCTCCGTGGGGGGCTGCCACTCTGCCTCTCTATGCGTGTGTGTGTGTGTGTGTGTGTGTGTGTGTGTGTGTGTGTGTGTTTAGCCTCAGCCTGTGTGAGGAGGAGGAGGGGACTTCCCATGGGTTTGGGGAAAGCGTGCTGGGCCTGCAACCTCACCCAAGTAGAAATCCAATGCTGCTAAACCTGGAGGACTCCTGGGCTTAAAGTGGCTGCCCCTGCCTCAGCTCCTCTGCATGGTTGAGGGCCTGGCCATCTCTTCTCAGCATTTACTCTCAGCTCGAGGCCGGTCTGCCAGGGACACTCCCCTTCTTGGAACAGGTGACCTGGAGCGTCTGCTAAGGCTTGTGGTCGCTGCTTATCTATCACTGGCATCTCCATCCCAGGTCTCCTCCAAGTCCGGCTCCCTAGGCAACTCCTCTGGCAGCGACATGACCTCCCTGTCCTCGCAGCTCCCGGGTACTCCCAACAGTATGGTGCCAAGTCTGGTGGAGACATGAGCAAGGACACCTCCCTGCCAGCCCACGGAACTTGCATGCTCCCTGCATGAGACTCACCCATGCTCAGGCCATTCCAGCTCCAAAATCTCTCTCACCCTCGTAATTATTATTATTATTTAAAGAGAGAGGGCTGAGGCTTATGGGCAAGACAGCCAGAAGCTCCAGAATGCAGCTTGCTCCCCCGATACTGGAGACCCCTGCTCTGAGGACTTTAATTTTTTTCCTCAAAACTAGAATTTGGGACTTACTAGGGTTAGCTCTGCCCTTGCCTCTCCCGCGCTCCGTGGGGGGCTGCCACTCTGCCTCTCTATGCCCCACCCAACCCAAAGGATGACATTCAACCCCCCAAAACGCATGATTGCTGGAAAAAACTAGAAATAAGACTTTTTCTAAAAATGTTTAAATTATCAGTCGACGGAGGACAGGGTGAGCCTTTGCCGAACAAACAAATGTAAGTTATTGTTATTTATTGTGAGAACTGCCAGTTCATAGTGGGACGAATATTTTGATCTTAATAAAAAGCAACCCTATGCCCTGCGGCTCCTGTGTGCTGATGGCGCTGTGCGAGCTGGACAAACGCAGCCTCAAGAGCTAGCTGGTCTTGTTTCAACATGGAGTAGAAAGTCGCCTCGGAGCGCGCGCCCAGCGCGCCCCCGGCCAGGTGCTGCGGCTCCTATGGGACGGGCGGGCGGGGATTGGGCGCCGACGGGGCGGGCCCGGTGGGGACTGGACGCCCGTGGGGCGGGGCTGGGCGTGCTCATCTCAGGCCGGGACTCCGGAGGCTGAAGCCAGAGATTGGGGCCCCTGAGTTTGGGCTCGAAGCCCATCGCATTGCGATGGCTGCTCCGCTGCTGTCTACGGCTGGGCTCGGACGGCGGGTGGTGTCCACACTGCACCCCTGGGGCCAGGGCTTCCACTCGTGGCTGCACTTCGCCTGCAGCCTTGCCTTTCCGCGGAGCTCGGAGGCCCACCCGGGCCTGGACGATCCCAGGCGTCCACCACTCTAGGCAGATCCGGCGACTATGAGGACTCGTCCTCCGCTTTGTCCTCTGAGTGGATGCGCGACGTGATCAATCTCTCTGCATTTATTAATTCACTCGTCTAGACAGCCGAGAAGGCCGGGCGGCGGCTTCTTATCTACCCTTTGGCATCACCTGCAAAGGATACACTGAAGGAGCCACCACAAGCCCGCCCTGCGCTAGGATCGCGGCTGCTGGAGAAAATAAGTCCACCCAGAACCAGTCTGGCGTGTCCTTGGTTTATTTTCTTTCCAGACCTGAAATGGAGGGGGTGGGGGTGGTCTCTGCATATGCAGTGCCCAGGTCACTTGGTGTGACATTTCAAACCCCTGCGACTTGTTTCCTTGAAAACTGGCTTTAGTGATCGCAGGAAATAACCAAGAGATACTGAATCTTCAGCAAGCAAGAAGGGGGAAGAAAACCCGCAGGCTCAGGTTTTACTCTCTTAAAAATATTTAACCCTTTGGCAGTCTGCAACACTTCTTTCCCAAGGCCAGTTATTCAAAAAGCTGACAGGTGACCAGGCAACCCACCACTCCTGCAAAAAAAGCTGTGACATTATCTCTATGTACTTGTCCCAAGAGTAAAATGACTCTAGAGTTAAATGACTTCCTTAAGGAAGGTTTGTTCTGAAAGAGGGTAATGCCCTAACTAGGCAAGGGACAGCTGCCTTCCTAGCTTGGGTAGGCTAAAGAGAAAAA